AATGGTCGAATATCACATGGGACTTTACTTAAATCTTGAGTGCCACACTTGCCCTTGTCACTTCTTGCCTTTGACCTCTTCCTACCCTCAACCCTCTACCCTGTGAATGGTAGCACTTGTTGCTTTTGTTCCCTCTGTTCCAGTCCTCTGCTTGCCAGCAGGCACACTGCCTGCAACTATGTAGGTAGACAATAAACATCACTGTACTCGTCTCTCTAATCAGTCATTGTGATGCCTGCATTGAGCTCAGATCCTGCAACAACACAACCCAGCCCCAGTGTTTCTTTTTAGGGACCTATGCTGGTAATATACCATACCATACCATACTATACCATACCATACCATACAGCTGACTTCAGTGTCCCCTTCTGCCTTCAACATACAGTGTAAGCAGCCAGTCCATTTCATAATAAGCACCACAATAGATGCTCATCTCTCTCTCCCCAACTTTTTTGTCTCCCTTCTGCTCCTCCACAGTTGCCTTTCCTTCATTGTCCTCCTTTTCTTTTTGTTCGCCTTCCTTTTTGAATGTGCATTCGTGCATCTGCATTGTTTCCAATGCTGAACAATTTCTTCAATAAATTCAATGCATTCACATACTTCTTCCTGCTCTGCAGCACAAGCAACAATCAGCAAGCACACACTTGCAACAATGTCCATGTACAACCATTCCCAAGGTGCAATCCTCTCTCTGACCCCTTGCGTACTTTCCTTCCCCACCCACCATTCCATGCTTGACGTGCATTTACATTACCTAGTGCTGTTCATGACACTGTTTCAAATAATGGAAGCAGTGGCCCACCACTCACCCCTCCTGAGCTGAGTCCGTCCACACCTTCCACTTCACCTCCTCCCTTCAAGCCAGAACGTCCCAGAGATACACCTTTGCAGTCATCCCTAACAACTCAGTTCACTGTACCTCTGCTTGCAAGACATAGTCAGAGCATGTAACATGCAGGTACAAACACAGCTTTGCCTGCAGCCTAAATCATCTTGTTCAATGCTCTGGATCACGACCCTGGTGCACTGCTCACACTTGCTACACACCATTGCAATACATCCATCTCCTCACTCCAGTTAGCCACTGTTAACATATATGGAATGACACATATAAGCAACAGACGTACCTGAGACATAGCTACATATTATATATACCTACTGAATCAACGGACAATGATGCTAAGTAGAGCGAGCCGAGTCCACTATCCCCCCTCTTTGTGTGATCCCTCTAAGCCTCTCACATAACCCCCCTTTCAACAGGTTATGAGCCTTGTGCTCCCTGCCTACACTTTATCTACACTCTACTACGTCTATGCTCCATCCAGTTCTACACATCACATGCACACACACAGTATACTACAACGCGGAACTTGACACACCTGTCTGAGTATCCCAAACACAAATCAATATGCTGCAGACACACAATCTACTGTACTACATACAACCAAGACATTATATGATTGTCATCTTAGTGATTATGATCATTGGCCCAGTAATAACATAATCTATGCAGGCAACACTGAAACTATGATGAGTATCACTTACTGCAACATTTAATCACTAAAATATTCTATAATATTACAGAGATCATGTTATTATAAATAACTGATCATACTATGGACGAACGTTAGAAGGATTGAGAAAGCAAACGCTACTCATCCACTATTAATATTATAATAGTACAAATGATTGACACTGTCAACAAACACGCATATATTATAGCATAAATAAAATAATGACACATATAGCAATATCACAGCTAAACAATTAATGTAAGACATGTCTTGGATATGTCAGACATGTCAGATATGAGATAAACAAGTTAGCAGATATCCATCTGATATCTAAGACATCTGATATCTACACACTAATACAGCTTATGAAAGCATACAACTATCTACAGACGAATTAATTAATAATAATAATAATAAAGTTACAAAGTACATTACAGTAACTATGGTACAGGAACGAGTACACAATTATAGTCTTTAAACAAATAACAATACTTTACACCTATAATAGTGTAAATATATAATAACAATGTATAATAACGGCAAACAGTAGAATAATACCTCTACCATTACTACAACAATGTAACAGAACATATTTAATTGTACAGAATGTAGATATATATTAACGAAGCATAAATAAACTTATATTGAAGCTACAAAGCTTATATACAAGTGAAGTACTATGCCAATATGGCTAGTACAACAAACAACAGAAAAACTACAACGGATGCACTTATTATAATGATTACAAACGAAAACAATCATAATATAATAAGATTAAATAAATTAATAAAACATTTAACACATTATCTCGGACAGTATAATATATAAAGAAAAGCAGACACAAGCATATCTATTACATCTTATCAGAGATATGAATAGATGTGCAACTGATGTTGTAACTGCAAACACACAGAGAGATTTCTTAGCACGTCTGAAATATTACAGACATATTACAAACATTACATTAAAATTTATAAAACAAACAGCACAACGTTACAATGTAATGTTTAAACAAAATGATGTATGTCAAACATCACAAGTTAACTTAAAACATACTGTTATATTATAACACATACTGACAAACGTACAAAAGTAAAACAACAAAGTATTAACACTACTTGTTGGATTACAAATACATGAAAGGAAATCAACAATGTACTTATGTACTTACACTACTTGTCAATTACTCAAAGAATAACCTTCTTGAATTGAAGGGGAGTAATTGAATAATATACATACTAATGATGAACATCGAATTCTTAATGCAGACATATTGACTATGTTACTAAGTGAAATCCGTGATGAATCTGACGAATCTGTCGAACACAAAATACTTTATTAAAGAATATAAAAGTTATACATCACATAACATTTTCAATGCTTATAAAAGTTATTTGAACGGATAATTAATAAATTAATAATAATAAAGCCTAGAAATGGTACATATTCCCAAAGCATTCTTTGCAGCAAATGTGCAAACGTTCACAACACAAAACTGCAGATGAACAAATGAATATTCATGATGCAGAAATGTCGATCTTATTGCTGATCCTAAAAAAACAATAAGTAATAGAAGTTACGGACAGATATAACGGATCACAAAGGTAAATCATTCAATGTGAAGCAAAATTATGTTGATCAGAACTAAATAATGGAAGTCAACACAATGTGCAATTGAACTTCAACATTAAATAAATAATAATTCCACTATGAAACGAATGCTCATACTTGGCAAATAATATTAATATAATAATCTGATTAACTTAACAACGTTTAATACAAAAATAAATAAAATACAAACAAATATCACATTATATAACAAAATAATTCATCAATCCAGACTATAGTTTATGGATAAAAGTGATGAATAACGAAAATAATACTTTGGAACATACATAAAACAATAAATAATATATCCATACAATAATACGAATATAATTGCAATATAATTCGCAACTACAATCGAACAATACAAAGATAATAACTATACAAACAAGTATGGAGCACATACATATAATCAAATAAAACTATTAAATTGATTCTCATACAAACAATTAATTTGCCCTCACTGTGCAATTAATACAAGTGTGAACAGTATTATAATACTATGAAATACATTGGATAGATACTAATAAGTATATCTATACAATGATTCAAATAAAATAAATAAAACCAATATATAAAACGCTTTACCTAGCAAATCAATTAACAAATAAAACGTCAAACAAATACTACAATTGTGCATAGCACTAGATTAACTAAAGAATGCTAGGAGACAATTATAGTAAACATAATCTGATATATCAATTATATGCAGATTGTGTTACAATACACTATTCTTTGCAAAAGAAAAAGCAAAGAACAATAGCCATAATACTAATAAATATTCATGACATCATGATCATAACAATTCACAATAACACTGTTAATAACAAATAATACGAACACACGTTACTAATGATTTACGACAGATAATTATGTTGGCTATTGAAGAAATAATGCAACAGATTGCATAGTTACTCAGGATGCATCAGAAACAATTCATTACAGAATGCAACATTAATATATAAATATAAACAATAATGTAAAGTGAACGAACAAACAATACATTCATGATATAATACATATATGATGCACCTAGACACATAGTGAGCTGCCTGCAGCCAGATATAATATCTATGCAACAAATATATGTTAGCATAAAACCTCATCAATCTCAGAATGAAGCAATCTGGCAAAAACAAATAGTATTATTGATATTACTGATATACAATCAATGCAAAGCTTCAATCCAAAGACATAAATCAGTTATTACTGAATGTTTAACGCATATACAAACGTAGACAAACACAGACAGCAATGATTAAAGAAGGATATCATTGCAACACCAGATATACATTTTACTAGTGTGATTCATTAGTTTCACAGTGAAGTAAAAAGAAATTACTAGTAATACTTGAGCAAATTTAATAAATAAAACACACGATTTACAATCTTACACAGCACTCATGAGATCTGC